GAAAATTCGTACGAAAGATTGAGAAACCTACCTAACCTAACCTAACCTATCTTTATAGGTTAGGTTAGGTTTGGTAGCCGAAAAAGGTAGGTTAGGTAAGGTTTGGTAGGGTAGGTAGTCGAAAAACAATTAATTCATGAAAACTTGGCTTATTAGGCAAATGGGGCCTTGCATAGTAGGCTGAGAAGTGCGTTCTGGCTACTAGGTACGACATATATATATATATATATATATATATATATATATATATATATATATATATATATATATATATATATATATATATATATATAAATATTAGTCAGCATTAATTACCTTGCCTCCCAGCGGACCGGCAGCTGGGAGATGAAAGTCTAGAAAATTACTTCACAAGTGTAAGTGAAGAGCTTAATGTGGCATCTTGCGCACCAGTTGTGTGCGCGGGAGGAGGGGGAGGAGGGGGGAGGGGGAAGATATATATATATTGCTGTGTTTGTCCTCTTGTATTCACTTTCTCCTCTGCCTCTGAGGATGATACGTTGTACCTTAGTGAATTGGGTCGAGCCCAATACAAGTATATACTTAACTTTCGAGAGTTAACTATTAAAAAATTATCTCCAAGTCAAGGAGAATCTAGGAAATATAGAGAAGATTCATGCATTGGATTCCAGATCCCACTCACTGACAATTGCATGAATGCGGCCCATGAAAGCCGTTCGTGATTTATGTCATCCTATTAAATGTAAATAAAATATACTTGTGTATGCAAGAGTTTCCTTTGCTGAATCTATATTAGTGTTGGTAGACAAAATGAAGCTGTTCTAAGGGTTCTACGAGGGATCCAACTCTGTGGTATGTGAATATCTAGATTTCTCCTCTTAGATGCAAGTTTGTACAGTTTCATTGGCAATGTCATTCCCTGGTATTCCTGCATGACTTGGCACCCATTTGAAAAGTCTTCGACGACCAAAACCTCCTGCGAGTTTAACATGGTTATGCCCTGATATTTAGTAGGGCTACCAATGAATTGATGGTAGTAGTCTGTCCCCACAAGGACAGCCATTGGCATTTGATTTGCTCAAATTTACCTGCAGCTGCTTGATAATAGCTTTCCAGGTCAGCATAATCAACTGTTGATTGTTGTGACAGATCTTCACATTTCTTGATCTGTCTTGTTAAGTGGCCTTTAAGACCTGCAAGGGTTCTTTTCATTCTCCCTGCATTATCCATACTGGCTAGTTGGTGAAGCCTTGTGGGACTTGTACTTGGGTCGCTCATAATACTGAACAAGCACTGATGGTAGCCTAGGGTTAAATTCTGCACTCACTAGGCAATAATCCTACCTCTACTAGAGGTTAGCACTTAAAATTAATACACATTATATATATACAATCATACACACTAATGATTTGAGTGATAAACCAGTGTCACTGGAAGTACCTTTAGGTTAGCTCTTCTATATCACCCTAGGATGGTAGAGACACTAATTAATCACTCAAAGGTGTAATGATCATAAGTAAATTATTATATATACAACTCAATTCGAGTTGATAAAAATTACACCCAAAATAGGGTCTGGACCATTCATTAATGGTGTTAGGTTGATCAATATAGTACAACTGACTATGGTAATAATGGGACTAGGATGAACGATAATAGTTCAACTAGTCAATGGTTTTATCCTACCCTGTTGTGGGTTGGCAATTAGTAAATATTATACTGTGATCACTAGTGCAATATATATAAATAATTCTCTATTTTGGAGAAATAATATACACAATTATTGATAATAGCCTCTTAATTAGCCTCTATCAAACTTCTAATATTATCTAGAAGTATTAAATATTATTAGTGACCTCGCGAAATAAAGTCCACAAAATTCGTAGGATAATCTCTCGCGAAATGTAACACCACGAAATCCGTGAACAATCTCGCGACACAGTCACTAATTGGCTGGCTTCAATATTAGCGCTGTCATTTCACGAAATAACACGCCACCAAATATCTGTGGGTGTGCATGAAACCGCTGATGAGGCTGAACTCAGTTGAGGGAGGCTCCTGAGCTCCCTCGAGGCTTCGCCGCTGTCTTTGACTGGCTGGCCTTGTTTAAATAACACTGCACTAGTATATTTAATGAATCCACTGGTTAACTGGCTCATCCGGTACTAAGATGACCAAATGTGGGTTCAAAGGATCAAATAATCCGTCATCCGGTTCGAAGATGACCAAATAATGTGGGAACCGACCTGTGAGATTTATATTTATTTAATTTATATGAATTTATATTTACGTTAATTTATATACTTCGATAGCAATTTGTATAATGATAAGTGGACTGTATTTCTGCAATAATCTCATAATCTCACAAATCGATCCTCTACACATTAGGGGGGGTTTATATTACACATATGCAGCCAATCAAATTACAGTAATAGCTACATACATTGATGAGGTTCCTTCTCTTATAGTACAGCCGGTTAGTCCACCAGGTATAACTAGGGTGTAGACACCAAATTATCCTCTTTGAGGCAGCTTCCATATCACCCAGTAACTGGTGCACAAAATCTTGCATCCTCGTCTTGACCTGTCAAAAGTGCGCTAGCTGTGAAGCCAGAATCCTATATATGACAAGTATATCAGAGAAAACACTATATGGTACATGGAACATGAAAGACCTGGCTTAATTACCTTTAGTATGAGGCGATTTCGCGTTCTAACCGGCTAACCCTATATCCTGACATTAATGGCCATAAATGAATGATAAACGGGTTTCGGATAGACACTTAACTTGTATTTGTAGACAGCGTGTTGACAATGGTACACCTTTGGGTTCCATAACACTACGTCCAAGTAAATTTAACAGGAGCCGAATTTGCTCCCGTGTGAGCCTCTGGTCTCAATATAAACAACAATGGCTGCCCTCCTTCCCCACTGACGCCTGGCCTACTTTGTCCAGATTTCAGAAAGTGATAGAAGGGTCACATTTACTCTACTTTAATATTGATAATTAAGTTAATTTATATAAGATGTTTTTATGATGGTAAAGTCCAAAGACTAATGTATTTAAGAATAATTCCCAGCAGAATAGCTGGTGAATTATAATAGTATGTGGTGATGATATCCCGTTTTCTATAGACGGTAATTCCACTACAAGTTACGTTTTCTATGGGTAACTTGTTGGTAATACAGTTATTATCTGTATGATTATTAAATGGTGTCGGATTTTCCGACACTCACTGACAATTGCATGAATGCGGCCCATGAAAGCCGTTCGTGATTTATGTCATCCTATTAAATGTAAATAAAATATACTTGTGTATGCAAGAGTTTCCTTTGCTGAATCTATATTAGTGTTGGTAGACAAAATTTGAGCTGTTCTAAGGGTTCTACGAGGGATCCAACTCTGTGGTATGTGAATATCTAGATTTCTCCTCTTAGATGCAAGTTTTACAGTTTCATTTGCAATGTCATTCCCTGGTATTCCTGCATGACTTGGCACTCATTTGATAAGTCTTCGACGACCAAAACATCTGAGTGTTTGTATTTAATGCTATAACATTTGTACTCCGACAGCTGTTAAGAGCACATAATAAGTCATAATGACAAGCTTACCTTGAGGTGCTTCCGGGGCTTAGCATCCCCGCGGCCCGGTCGTCGACCAGGGGACAATGAGAAACTAATTGCCTAGAAAATGGTCTTAATGTGCTAGTACCCAGATTAAATCATGTTTTAATTGTTCATTGTGATGATTAATCTTTGGCCTTTGGACTATACAAACACATCAGTCGGGCACATCTGTGCCAGGTGAGTACGACGGGCTCACCATAGCCCGTGCTGCTTGGAACTTTTTGTTCCGAGTAGCTGCATCTAAAACAACAACATATCATCAGCTTCTGACAGATTATTAAGGCAATAACATTTCCTTACATATATATTTCAGTCCTTAACAAATTATATTACTAGCCCCTTATAAAGAGATTAAAGCTCTTTGGTTCAATACAACAAGTACACAAGGTAAGGTAATTACGATGATAAAGTGCTAAGCCAGCGTGACTATACAGAACTTGGAAGGGATATAAGGGCAAGGAGCTGGGATATGAGGACAAGGAGCTGGGATATGGGGACAAGGAGCTGGGATATAAGGACAAGGAGCTGGGATATGAGGACAAGGAGCTGGGATATGAGGACAAGGAGCTGGGATATAAGGACAAGGAGCTGGGATATGAGGACAAGGAGCTGGGATATAAGGACAAGGAGCTGGGATATGAGGAGAAGGAGCTGGGATATGAGGACAAGGAGCTGGGATATGAGGACAAGGAGCTGGGATATGAGGGCAAGGAGCTGGGATATAAGGACAAGGAGCTGGGATATAAGGACAAGGAGCTGGGATATAAGGACAAGGAGCTGGGATATAAGGACAAGGAGCTGGGATATGAGGACAAGGAGCTGGGATATAAGGACAAGGAGCTGGGATATGAGGACAAGGAGCTGGGATATAAGGACAAGGAGCTGGGATATAAGGACAAGGAGCTGGGATATAAGGACAAGGAGCTGGGATATAAGGACAAGGAGCTGGGATATGAGGACAAGGAGCTGGGATATGAGGATGGGGGGGGGGAGTAACGGTCCCCAACCAATAAGACTATCGGGAATCAAACGCCGCCTCTTCAATATTTAAGGGCCGTCGCTATACTAGTATTCACCGAAAATATGCAAATCCACTTATAATGGCGAGTACAGTGACAGTGTTGCCTCTTACAGGGTCGTCGTTCGATCCCGATGATACAAATGGTTGGTCATAGGGGGATAAAAAATAGCCTAAGCTATTCTATCCCTTTGAGATGTATTTTCTTGTCTCAATAAACATACTTGCACCTGAAGTGGTTGGTCGCCGTTCGTTCACTTCATAGCCCAGGTCCGTATCCTTTTATAATACTTTCAAAGTGCTATGTAAACACACTAGCTTAGCGCTTAATTCTTATAAATAACAAGAATATTATACAACCGCTTCAGTAACTGCTTCAAGTTACTGGTCTCTTCTTGAGCTGCAGGTCGAGGGAGTCCAGATACTCTGTCACCTGAGTGAAGGAGAGTGGACAAGCTTGGTACAGGGCCAGGCAGTCCTCTCCCCGCTGGCCCAGGGCACCTGCTGACTGGTAGAGGGCTCGAGCCTGCTGCGCCTTCTTCGGGGGCACTGGTTGAGGCTTCTCCCTGCACACCGGGAGGAAGGATCATAACATCAAATGAGAACACACGTACTATGTATTAGCGAAATATGAAGTCATTTCTTGTAATATAATGAAGTATTTAAAATAATATTAATTCCACCTGTGGTCCTAATAGTTTTTTGTATTATTGACAGCTATGAATATTCACATAAATAACAGAGGAATCATTTATTAGCAACTGACCCGACGAGTAGTCTGATGGCGCGTTCCCTGAGGTTGAGGTCCTGCCGGGGCTTAGTGAACACCTGACACACGTAGCGCAGCCCGCACTCTTGCGTGTCCACCTTGGCTACCATGGCGAAGATCTCCTCGAACCTTAAGAGACGCGCGTGTCACGGAAAATGCGGTTTATGGACATGTAATAAAATACATTTATGACAGATGTTTCGTTTACAAATTGTGAAGCAATTGTTGGGTCTAATGGTCCATGCTGTCATGTGAGAATAATCACACATATGAAACACTGTATTAAAAGTGTTTGAGTGAACAATTAATACAAATACTGAACAGAAACTTTAGTGTTAATTAATAGGAAATTAGTTAAGACTGTACGTATAGTAACTACACAGAAATCCGTGCAGCATTTGAGTTCTTTAAGTTAGATAATTGTCAAAAACAGCGTCTGTATTTAATCTTATAACAAAGTTTTAAATTTGATTTAAAAATTACCAATACATAAAACCATTATGATTTCAATTTTAAAATTAATAGAATATGGCCGTTTTGGGATATAAACTTAAAACTTTTGAATCTGACCATACCTTTCATCCTGGACCTCTCTCCTCTGGCGACCGAGGCTTGAAGGCCTCCCTGAAACAACACAAGACCGAGGAGCTCAGGTCAAATGGCTTGCAAGCAATTTCCATCCGCTTTCATAATGGGTAAATGCTCGTTAATCCTGCCGCCTTACCCTATGTTTATAAATGAAAAAACACCTTAAAGATAACTCACAACTAATATGTTCGAATCTGTCTTCAAACCGTATTTCGGTTACTTCCTATGTTCGAAATTACACCTTTTTAAATGCCAACAATACTTACTGCTAGAACATATATTTTCAAACAGAACCAAAAGACTTTATATAGTCTATCCCAGGCCTAACTATATATATATATATATATATATATATATATATATATATATATATATATATATATATATATATATATATATATATATATATATATATATATATATATATTGGCAGCAGGTTTTCTTTCAAACATGTCTCATTGAATATGACTGCATATTCTGTATTTACTATTTTCTGGTTTAGGGCTTCTATCCTCTAACTATTTTCTTAGCATCAGGGCTTAGCTGAAATAGGAGTTCTCCAAAACTCATTTTCGTAATTTTAAGGTGAAGAAAAGAAGTGAATTACTATAGAATGTATTACACTTATTTATACAATTTGCACAACGTTTCGAACCTCCATGGTTCATTCTCAAGTGAAAGGAATTTTCAGGTTTGGTTGATTTTATACCTGCACTGGGTCAGGTGATAAGACATATCTTATCTGCTAGAACAGACATATCTTATGTCTTATCACCTGACCCAGTGCAGGTATAAAATCAACCAAACCTGAAAATTCCTTTCACTTGAGAATGAACCATGGAGGATCGAAACGTTGTGCAAATTGTATAAATAAGTGTAATATGTTCTATAGTAATTCACTTCTTTTCTTCACCTTAAAATTACGAAAATGAGTTTTGGAGAACTCCTATTTCAGCTAAGCCCTGATGCTAAGAAAATAGAGGGATAGAAGCCCTAAACCAGAAAATAGTAAATACAGAATATGCAGTCATATTCAATGAGACATATATATATATATATATATATATATATATATATATATATATATATATATATATATATATATATATATATATATATATATATATATATATATATATGTCGTACCTAGTAGCCAGAACGCACTTCTCAGCCTGCTATGCAAGGCCCGATTTGCCTAATAAGCCAAGTTTTCCTAAATTAATATATTTTCTCTAAATTTTTTCTTATGAAATGATAAAGCTACCCATTTCATTATGTATGAGGTAAATTTTTTTTTATTGGAGTTAAAATTAACATTGATATATGACCGAACCTAACCAACCCTACCTAACCTAACCTAACCTATCTTCATAGGTTAGGTTCGGTTAGGCAGCCGAAAAAGTTTGGTTAGGTTAGGTTAGGTAGGTTAGGTAGTCGAAAAACAATTAATTCATGAAAACTTGGCTTATTAGGCAAATCGGGCCTTGCATAGTAGGCTGAGAAGTGCGTTCTGGCTACTAGGTACGACATATATATATATATATATATATATATATATATATATATATATATATATATATATATATATATATATATATATATATATATATATATATATATATATATATATATATATATATATATATATATATATATATATATATATATATATATATATATATTAGACAACGACACAATCACTGATGGTATTGTTGAGTTAAGGGCAACAACGATCCAATCGCTGGTGTAGTGGTCATTGTACTGGTGCTGTCGGTGGGGAGACCCCTGGCGGCCAACGGACGACCGAAAACATGCAGGTATATAATATATCTCTAATTTATTAGCTGGCATGAGAGTTGCTAGATTCCAATAATCATCATTATGGCGTTTAAAAAAGAATAACCAACAATATTGCCACATAACGACCATTTTTATTTTCATGTAACAAAGTGTTAACCCACAAGAAATTCTGATGATAGTCTACGATAAACTCATGGGAACTGGTCAAATGACTTGCCTCTTTCCCTGTTGGTTAAGGCGGCGATACCCAGACTGGCTACCCCCGCGACCGCTGCCGTGGCGCCTACTCCAGTCAGGGTGCCGGCGCCCACTGTCACTGCTGCAGAGGTAGCGCCGAGGGTGGTGGCCACAGGCACTAACAGTGACGTGGTGAGTCCGCAGACAACAGCCAGCACCGCAAGCAAAGCCCAGAGGGATCCCTGCATTCTGAAATCCATGAACCTACGCAAGATAAGCTGCAGTGTATTTTTCAGGAGGCATGTGTAAGCGTGTATTTGTTTGTGAATGAATGTGTTTGTGGGGCACATGTCTACATAAAGAAAAAGAATGTGAAAGGGGGGAATTAAAGAGTCCGTCAGGAAGCAAAATATAAAATATTCGCCAATTAGTGCTTATTGTGTGCTCACCTAGTTGTACTCACCTAATTGTGTTTGCGGGGGTTGAGCTCTGGCTCTTTGGTCCCGCCTCTCAACTGTCAATCAACTGGTGTACAGATTCCTGAGCCTACTGGGCTCTATCATATCTACATTTGAAACTGTGTATGGAGTCTTCCTCCACCACTACACTACTTAATGCATTCCATTTGTTAACTACCCTGTGTGCCTCACCAGTGAGACAAGCAACTTTATAGTGTTAGGCTCCGGTCACATTTTATTTTGAATACGAAGCATTGAGCGCCATACGATCTTTGACTCAAACATCAGATTAACTCATCTTTTATACTTGTATACCAATTTAATACTACATTGATTGGTCATTATAGAGGTAAAGTTAGAGCACTTTGGGTCTGAAGTCAACGAAATTATTATTGTTTAAAAAACCTAATCAGGCTATTGATTTATCGTTAGTAGCGCGTGTCTAGATCAAATAATTTCGTTAACATACAAAATTTGTAGCACATAATGTTTTACATTTTCGGGATGATTTTTGTTGTCTTCTTAATACAATCAATGCTTGTAGTGCATTGGATAATCACCTCTGCTTGGATTAATTCTCAAATGCAAAATTGTGTTTTCTAAGGGTGTTATTGGACGTATAAACTGCAGTGAGATGCGCGTAACTTAGTGCAGAGGTAAACAATGTAACATGTTGCAAACGTTTTACGTATTTGAACAGACGTCTCAGCACGGGAACTCACGTGTGGTTTTCTGAAAACTGTTTGAATTGAAGAGATCGTATGTGGATGGTGGCGGCTGGCAGGCGGTGGTAGACGGCTGGTGGGCGGTGGCAGGCGGCTGGCAAGCGGTGGCAGACGGCTGATGGCGGCTGGCAGGCAGATAGGGTTACCTGGAGGTCTCTGTAATTAGCAACTTTTCACTGGAGATGTTAGGCAGATAGGGTTACATGGAGGTCTCTGTAATTACCAACTTTTCACTGGAGATGTTAGGGTGAATGTGCAGGTAGCCAGTCCAGCTCTACTTGTATATATACTCACTGCCTCCACCAGCTGTCATCTGGAGGGGGGGGGGGGTTGAGACAGGCCTATCAACCCCTTTCACCCGCGCTCTCACTAGCACAATAACTAGGTGAATACCATCCTCATCACCATCAGAATGAATAGGGGGAGAGGTCCCTATCATATGAATGTGTCATCTAATTATTCAGGATTCATACTCAGGCATAAAAAGTCAGAATTAAATAATAAAATTGAGTGTGTCAGCACTCAAGTGTTCTTACTGGTTGGTCAATAAGAAATTGAGGTGGTATATATAGCCCAACCGCGGTTAATAAAAAATAAATAGGCGTTATACTCAGCAATGATCATACCGAGGTTATTTTTAATGAAAAAATAATGCCCACAGTAATCATTCCATTACTCATGTGCATATTACAAGATTTTTTACTTTATAATTAGCACATTCAATAATATTCATATCAAAAACTTTTTTACATTCTTTCATCTTATGTACTCTGTATGCACATTCTTATGAATAAAATTATTAATATTTTTACTATTAAAGCAAACAGTACCAGAAGATCTCCCCGCCGCCTTCACAGAGATTACATCACCACCGTCTCCTGACGGAGGAGCAGCAGGCCAATGTTGTGTGTTGGGCACGCCCCGGTGCATCATCAGTAGCCGTGCATTAGATTTTCTTTCTATATATCAGTATTTGGTATTGATGTTACTAATTTTCATAACTTCCCCATTCACTGTTCAATTCTCTTCTCATTCTGCCTCAAAGGAAATGTATATCGAGAGACGTATGCCACGTCTTTGAGTGTATATATATATATATATATATATATATATATATATATATATATATATATATATATATATATATATATATATTATTAAAATATGACCGAAAAAGTAAGATTAATAATTCTAACACGAATTTTCTCAATCTTTCGTACATTACGCTTCACTGTTGGAGGTAAATCAAAAATCACTTCTCCAAAATTCATTTTTATTTCTAGTCTGACGCGACACGGGCGCGTTTCGTAAAACTTATTACATTTTCAAAGACTTCACAAATACACAACTGATTAGAACTTACGTATCTCTGATTTTATATCTACATTTGAGTGAGGTGGGAGGGGTGATGTGGCATTAACACAAGACAGAACAAGAGGGGATATTAATAGGGTATTAAAAGTATCAACACAAGACAGAACAGAAACAATGGGTATTGAATAGAAGTGTTTGTAGAAAGCCTATTGGTCCATATTTCTTGATTATCAAGAAATATGGACCAATTGGCTTTCTACAAACACTTCTATTCAATACCCATTGTTTCTGTTCTGTCTTGTGTTGATACTTTTAATACCCTATTAATATCCCCTCTTGTTCTGTCTTGTGTTAATGCCACATCACCCCTCCCACCTCACTCAAATGTAGATATAAAATCAGAGATACGTAAGTTCTAATCAGTTGTGTATTTGTGAAGTCTTTGAAAATGTAATAAGTTTTACGAAACGCGCCCGTGTCGCGTCAGACTAGAAATAAAAATGAATTTTGGAGAAGTGATTTTTGATTTACCTCCAACAGTGAAGCGTAATGTACGAAAGATTGAGAAAATTCGTGTTAGAATTATTAATCTTACTTTTTCGGTCATATTTAATAATATATGTCTACAGGAAAGACTGCTACCAAAATATACTAATATATATATATATATATATATATATATATATATATATATATATATATATATATATATATATATATATATGTATATATATATATATATATATATATATATATATATATATATATATATATATATATATATATATATATGTATATATATATATATATATATATATATATATATATATATATATATATATATGTATATATATATATATATATATATATATGTATATATATATATATATATATATATATATATATATATATATATATATATATATATATATATATATATGTATATTTTGGTAGCAGTCTTTCCTGTAGACATATATTATTAAATATGACCGAAAAAGTAAGATTAATAATTCTAACACGAATTTTCTCAATCTTTCGTACATTACGCTTCACTGTTGGAGGTAAATCAAAAATCACTTCTCCAAAATTCATTTTTATTTCTAGTCTGACGCGACACGGGCGCGTTTCGTAAAACTTATTACATTTTCAAAGACTTCACAAATACACAACTGATTAGAACTTGCGTTTCCCTGATTTTATATCTACATTTGAGTGAGGTGGGAAGGGTGATGTGGCATTACATTTGAGTAAGGTGGGAAGGGTGATGTGGCATTAACACAAGACAGAACACTAGGGGATATTAATAGGGTATTAAAAGTATCAACACAAGACAGAACAGAAACAATGGGTATTGAATAGAAGTGTTTGTAGAAAGCCTATTGGTCCATATTTCTTGATGCTTCTATATTGGAGCGGAGTCTTGCACAACTATATTCTACCCACCTCAAGTTGCACAACTATATTCTACCCACCCCAAGACTCCGCTCCAATATAGAAGCATCAAGAAATATGGACCAATAGGCTTTCTACAAACACTTCTATTCAATACCCATTGTTTCTGTTCTGTCTTGTGTTGATACTTTTAATACCCTATTAATATCCCCTAGTGTTCTGTCTTGTGTTAATGCCACATCACCCTTCCCACCTTACTCAAATGTAATGCCACATCACCCTTCCCACCTCACTCAAATGTAGATATAAAATCAGGGAAACGCAAGTTCTAATCAGTTGTGTATTTGTGAAGTCTTTGAAAATGTAATAAGTTTTACGAAACGCGCCCGTGTCGCGTCAGACTAGAAATAAAAATGAATTTTGGAGAAGTGATTTTTGATTTACCTCCAACAGTGAATCGTAATGTACGAAAGATTGAGAAAATTCGTGTTAGAATTATTAATCTTACTTTTTCGGTCATATTTAATAATATATATATATATATATATATATATATATATATATATATATATATATATATATATATATATATATATATATATATATATATATATATATATATATATATATATATATATATATATATATATATATATATATATATATATATATATATATATATATATATATATATATATATATATATTGGTAGCAGTCTTTCCTGTAGACATATATTATTAAATATGACCGAAAAAGTAAGATTAATCATTCTAACACGAATTTTCTCAATACTTCTTATGTTTCTTTTCACTGTTGATGGTAATTGAAAACTCAATTCTCCAAAATTCATTTTTATTTCTAGTCTGACGCGACACTTGAACACGTTTCGTAATAACTTATTACATTTTCAAAGACTTTTAGTTTACACACACACACAACTATAACCTGCAAACACTAAACAGAGTTCTTACTATGCTATGATTTAAACAGCTTTCATTTTATTTTATACCCGCATTTTGGGTGAGGTGATATGTTACAACAGTTTTGGATGAGGTGAACAAAACTTTCAACACAGGACAGAACACGAAACAATGGGTATTAATTGGGTAAATTGAAGGTAAGAATGGAAGTAACTGCAGAGGGCCTATTGGCCCATATTTCTTGATGCTTCTATATTGGAGCGGAGTCTTGAAGTGGGTAGAATATAGTTGTGCATTAATTGGCTGTTGATTGCTGGTGTTGACTTCTTGATGTGTAGTGCCTCCCAGATGTCAAGCCGCCTGCTATCGCTGTATCTATCGATGATTTCTGTGTTGTTTGCTAAGATTTCTCTGGTGATGGTCTGGTTGTGGGAAGAGA